TACCTCTCGGGTAGCTAGCTGGTTGCTGAGCTCCTCGGCCTTCTCAATATTCCACTCTTCCACAGCCTGGTCTATGCTCTTTTCAAGGCCCGACTAGAAAGAAACAGAACCTGAAACTTAAAGGCAGAAAAGAAAGGCAAACAAACATTCGCTAGCAAAGACTATGCAGCAGGCTACAGTTTGAGAACCACTGACCTAAGCAATGCCTTCCGTTCCTCCAACATCTTACCTTGTTTAGGCTTTCCCAACCATTTCTTTCGACCACTTTCACATCTAGGTGCTTCAGCAGCAATGTCAGAGAAAGTCAAATAACTCAACCCACTGGCTTCGCTAAAAGCCATTTAAACAATCCAGCTGGGTGGGCTCTCAATGCTGCCCTTGACAGGCTCCACAGGCCTCTATGACACTGTTACATGTCTCTCCCATTACTCCAAATACCCTCAACCCCACCTCCTTCCTTTTCCGACTGTAACTCTACCCCCACTTTACGGGAGCGGGAGAAGGGAGGGAAAAGAAGAACCAAGGATATGTATGTCCTTTCTACAATCTTCCTCTCATCCACCTCAAAAAAGTTATCTTCAGGTATTCTGTTCTTCATTCCTTACTGCCCCCAGGAAGGAATCATCTCCCTTGCAAGACTAACCCCACCTCCTGTGCTCACCACAATCCCATCTGCTTTCATGCTATACAGAACCTTGCTCTTTAAACTTTCTACCCCCATCTTTCTTTCATTCTACAAACAAGCTTGTCCTCCCCGTTCTGGACCAGGGACTAGATGGGATGCCTCAGCCTCTTTCCTCAAACTGATTTCTTGTTGTGTTAGTACTACTTCTCTCTCTTCTAAAACATTCTTATCAGTTGCCCTGATGTCATCTCATCCCTTAACCCTCTAAGCCAGAGTCTATGGTCACAGGAGACACCAACTGTTGTCCTTTTACCTGAGCATCTTTTATGTTAACTACATCCACGTTCTGTCCCCCCCAAATATCTATCTTCAATCTCCTTTGAAGCCCCTTATCTCTTATTGCCCCTTAGTGACAGCACTCCTGCGATTTCTGTGACTGACCCCTTCTTCTTACTCCTATTTCACACCGTAATTCAATCCTAGGCCTTCAATTAATTCTTATAAGCTGCTTTGGATCTCTATATAATTTAAAGCATCTGACCTTTCACCTTATCAAAATCTACAGCTCCAGCTACTTCCTAGTTATCTTCATATTGAAGGTAGCGTCCTCCCTTTTTTAATTATGTCTAAAAACAAGTTCCTCACTCCCGCCTGCTCCTCCTTTAGAGCTGACTACCCTATCAGTCACCCCTGATAAAATCCTCAGTCAGCTTCAATGCCTCCAATTCTGTGCTCTTAATTTAACTGTTTTGTAGTGTCTCTCATTTCTCCTTTCTGTGCTTCTTCAGGGCGTCATAATCTCATTTGAAAGATTATAACCATCTCCAAAGTGGTCTTCTATCTTTCTTAAGCGGATACCATGTCATTATCCAGCTTAAAACAATACCACTTTCTTACTCCTTTTGAATAGCACCCAATTCCCTTCATAATAGGATCTCAGTACCTGTACCTGGAATATTTTAATTAATATTTCTTTTTATAGTCAAAATAAACTATTTTCATTTAAGAAATACTAAAACAATGGCCTCTCCTTCCTACATAGAACATTAGGTATCTCCTCAAATGCCACTGAGATATGTGAAAACAAAACATTAATATCAAACTTTAATTTTCCCTGCACCACAAATTCTGGGGTAGCCTGACACCTCCACCCAGACCTGCTCTCCAGTCTTTCATCTCAGCAACCTGGTCTAACAGCATCCATTCTTGAGCCTGCCCTGCGTATTCCACATGGCAGCTCTGCTGTGTCCCTCCAATTAGGTAGGCTTCCTGAGATACGGATCATCTGGGTGCCACAATCCCTTACTCCAGACGTAGAATAACACAGGTCAGCGAGCAGAGAGGAATCCAACCTATTTTTCCACCAACGCCCAAGAATAAACCAGTAGTCTGTTTACTCAGTCAACTTGCTACTTCCCTTTGGCTACCATGGATGGGCCACAGCTTACAAGTTAATGTCACAAAGGGGGAAACAGGAACATTCCCCTCTTCTAGAAACTTGTATGAACTGCTGAGCTTAAAAATATACTTTTCACTTAAAAATAAATCATCTAAAATTATAAATGTATCTCTTCACCATCAATCAACCTCCATTACCCAGCCATTTGGAGCAGCGTCTAAGGGAGATGGCATAATATAGTAGAAAAAACATGGATTAGGAGTCAGGATTAGGAGTGGTCACAGCTCTGGATAAATGAGGTACTTAATTCTTAAGTGTCTGTTTCATTAAAGAAAACCAGTTATTGGCTTGGATGACCAAAACCCTCTCCTAGAAATAAAATCCTAGAATTCCACTTACATGTTCAACTTTTTTTTAGCTCTTTTAGAAGATATTAACATTCCAAATGCTTACATTAGTACAAAATCATCCTTAGGTAAACACTTCCATCGCCTAGCACCATAAGCTAACAGCACTTGACAAAGAGCATGGCTGGTGAGGTCACAGTCCAGCTCCTCTACTTGACAAAGCTGGAACCACAAGTTCACATGTAAAATTCTGTTGTGTGAGTCCCTAATGCACATGCCCTCAATGATGCAACACTACCCGATGGGTGAAAATAAGGTTTTTCATGAGGAATATTGATTAATCAGAAAATGGTAATGATCGCTATGCACACAGTCATCTATAGCAATGACCCACGAAGGAGGCACACACAAGGTACAGTATACCTGGGCTTCACCAGGCAGGACCCTGTGCTCTAGCCCTACCACTCAGTGGTCTGTTTTCATGCTGCTGGAATCTGTCCATCATTCCTGCATGTGAATATGTAAGTTACTCATGCATTCAAACCTCTGCTCAGTATTAATCATCTATATAAAGACCGACAACTCCCAGATGTGTTTCTAAAGCTGACTCTCCTCCAAGCTCCTGCCTCATTTTACCAACAGTCTATTCTCCTCCTGCTTGCTGATATCACCCACGCCCCCACACTGAACTCTGGAGGCCCCACTCTAAATCTTCTCCCCTCCCAAGCTTTCCCATCTTCATAACTATTATCTTTATGCTTAAGGTAAAACCATGAATGGCTCTTTCTCTCCTTATTCTCCAAATCCTCCCCACTACCTCACAAACAATCCAGAGGCAAATCCTGTCAATTCTACTTCTGCCCTATACCTCAAATCCTTCCCCTGTTCCCCATCCTCAGAAGCAGCATTCTTGTTCAAGATGACCTCATGCCTAGAAGGGTCTCCTAACTGCTCTCTTCTCACCTACTTTTGCTGCCCCACCGTCCATTCTCCACATAATAGCAATCTTTTTAAACATAATTTAGATCATGTCACTCCTTTTAACTGAAAACCCCTGAATGACTCTCAAGTGCATTGTCACTAAAACCCAACTCCTTTCTCTGCCCCTGAAGGTCCCAGAGTTTGCTCCCTACTTGCCCGCCTCTCCAATCTTATCTTGGGCCCCCTCCTCCTCACTAGGCACTCCAGCTAGGCTGACCTAGTGACTCCAATGTCCGATGATGAACGACTCTTTCCTCCCTAGGATCTCTATCCAGCCAGGGGTCCTCAAACTTTTTAAACAGGGGCCAGTTCACTGTCCCTCAGACCGTTAGAGGGCCAGACTATAGTTTAAAAAAAACTATGAACAAATTCCTATGCACACTGCACATATCTTATTTTGAAGTAAAAAAACAAAACGGGAACAAATACAATATTTGTATTTGCATGTGGCCCGCGGGCCGTAGTTTGAGGACCCCTGACCCAGGCTATCACTCTGCACTAGCATTCCTTATTTGGATGGTTCCTGCCCTCCTGCAGGTCTCAGTGAAATGGCATCTTCTGAGAAAGGTCTTCCCTGACCACAACAAGCTGAAGTGGGGCCTCCATTTGAATTTCTTCACAATACCCCATTCATTTCCTTCTTAACAGTTTTTGTTAATGATTTGTAACTATATATTTACTTCTTTATCTAGCACCTTGTTTGGCACATAGAAGGCATTTTAATAGTCACTTAATGAGAACTACCTTTGGCAAGGTTAATTACAAATATTTTCTACTGAGTAATATAAGATGCAATAAAAAAAAAATCAACAACACTTTACCTTCTCAATTTTTTTCTTTTTAACAGGGGGTTCAAACCTGTCATTGACTCCAAAATACTGAGTAAGTTCCTTCAACTGGGTTTCACTTGGGGGACTGTTCACTATAAAAAGATAAAGAATACATTTTACACTAAATGTACTCATTTTTATTTTTACTGTTTTTAATTGGTTACTACAATTATATTACAACAACTAGTTCTTATGTTTCAGAGGTAATTAATTTAACTATTTGTACAAATTCTACAAATACTAACTAGAATAGACAGATATTTTCAATTCCACCTACCTATGAGATTCTTCTTCATTCTTCAATTTACCTAAAAAGAATTCACAGTGTTAATAGCTAAGTATTTAGTTATTTCAAAATTACTTTTATTAAAAATTAATGAACTCAGTCGCAGTTTAACATTAGCACTATTGACAATGAACCTGAATTAAAGCAAAATACCTTTTCTGGAGCGTTTTCTTTTTTTTCTTCTGAATCTTGAAGATGAGATTTTCTGTTCAGAATGTTTTTTATGCAATTCTTGAAATTTCTACATAAAAGTAAAAAAAAAAAAAAGCAAATATATTTTGAAGCAACACATACATCAAAAAATAACAAGTAATAAAACTATTATATTCTAGTATTTATAAACACATATTTAAGTTCCTCTTGAGATATTATATTCTCTAAGGCTCTTTCACAACCTGGGTTTTCATCTTACTTTATTTCTAGATATTTCTAGATAAGTCAAACTGATAATCTGAGAGTAAAATTCAATGACTCATAGATAACAAAAAGATAAAATTAAGATAGACATTCCTCCTGTATCATGTTAGGCCAGTGATGGCGAACCTTTTGAGCTCGGCATGTCAGCATTTTGAAAAACCCTAACTTAACTCTGGTGCCGTGTCACATATAGAAATTTTTTGATATTTGCAACCATAGTAAAACAAAGACATACTTTTGATATTTATTTTATATATTTAAATGCCATTTAACAAAGAAAAATCAACCAAAAAAATGAGTTTGCGTGTCACCTCTGATACACGTGTCATAGGTTCGCCATCACTGTGTTAGGCAAAGTAGCTAATCTTACTAAATGTTTTCTTCCCCTATTTATGAAAAACAAAACAAAAATGAAAGCAAATATCTGAATGGCCAATGGAATGACTACAGACCCACCTGGTAATAAAAGAATTCTGGGTGAATTTTCCTACCTATTACCTCCCAAGAACATGTACACTCTGACCATGGCAGAGACACACAGGCTATACTAGGAACACATCAGAGAAAACCTACATTCCATATATGTAAGGGAACTCCAGAAGGACACTCTTCATATGCATTCACATTCGCCTCTGCTTCAGTGTTTGGTCCCTCTGCAGGGACATCTGTGATCTCTGTTTCTGTAACGGTCCCATCTTCTTCATCTTCCTGTAAGTCAGGTCCAGAGTTCTCTATTGTGTCTTCATCTTCAGAATTCAACTCAACATCACTTTCATTTAGGCCAGGAGGTAGCAGCCCACTCCACATCTTTTCTTCTAAAGGGAAAAGGGTGAATTTAGACCTATTTAAAGTAGGCAGGCAAAGAATTTTAAAACCATTAAATGACATCCCAGAGTCTAATAAATATACCTATAGTTTGGGAACAGTCCAGCTAAACTTTTTAAAAATCTATAATGGGATATGCCCTCCATATTAAAATTAAACTTTGCTTGTATAAAAAAAAGTGTAAAGCAGTTTAGCAAGTTGTTACAAGATACATCTATAGGTGAATGACCTAAGAATATAGGACCTTGATTCTCTACTATATGCATAATTTTGCCTAAAAAAAAGGAAATCCAGTAAAAGTATCCATTGCTCGAGAATGGTAAGAACCTAACAATATGCCCTGCAGGCCATGTAAGAACTATATTACTATATTTCAAGCTATACCAACTAGAGAAGAAAACAAAATTGAATGTTTCACCTGTATTGGGATATATAAAACATTCAGGGGACTTACTAAGGAGCAGGAAAACAATTATTCAAAAAGAAATTTTTTAAGCTGTACAAGTAGTTTGAGGAAAGTGTGATGGTGAAAAGGATATCCTAGATTAAAATTTTATACTATTTGCTAAACTAATATTAAATGGAATATAGTCCTAACATTTTAACAAGAACATACTATATTTGGTAAACTAATATTAAAGTCCAAAATAATATTTAGCATTAGCTATACTGTCCATTTGTAGAAACATTAGCTAGTGTTTAATAAAAACAATGTTTAAAAATTGGAGTTGTAGTCAATTTGTTCCCATTAAGATAACTGAGTACATTTTCACTATAATGGCACAGTCTATTTTAGAATACATATTGAGCCAAATCCATTTAGTTTAAAAGTTGCCTGAAACAGAGAAGTTGGTTGTAGTGCTCATGATTACTATCAACCTGAAGGAATAAAATGAATAGAAATCTTTTCTGCTAAGTTTTCTACCCCGTATTGTGATTAATTAACCTAATAACAAAGCCACCACCATTAATCTCTGAGACAAAGACATCATGGGCTTTTCCATAACTCTGAATAATGGATTCCTAATAACTTTAAGGACCTCCTCCCAAATCCAAAGAATCAGATCTTACTTTCTGCCACTTTGGTCCAGACTCATCAGCTGCTAACTCTCAGAAACATCCTCACCAAAATAATCTCTTGACTTTTTAAGAGGAAGGGCCTGACATATAACTGCTCCCATTGTAATCCTGTGTCTACCATATACTAGTAGTATATGGAAATCATTTTTAATACCTCCGTTTTTTCATCTGTAATAATAAGGCATACAGGCTTATTTTGAGGATTAAATGAGATAAAGCCATGAAAACATTCAACAGTATTTAGGAGGTTCTAGGGGCTCAATCAGTGCTAAGTTCTTTTCTGCTATTATTATTCCTGTGGCTATGTGCATTTTGATCATTTCTATCATGATGGCAGCGTTCATTCATAAGGTCGTTTTGAAGTTTCTCATGTTTGAAGTGTACTCGCTTAACAATTGATGCAAATCATTGACTTCCCTGATTTCCACAGGCTGACATGAAGTTTCTATAAAAAATGTAGGTGTCTGGTTTTCTGAATAGAGCAATAGACCCAGAAACAAATCAGCATGAAGATAATGGGGCTTAAGCTTCAAGGCTCATTTGCACAAGACACTATACCTAATTTTATATTTAGAATATGTATTCCTTGTTTTTAGAGACCCCAAATTACATAGGCTCCCAACCCCGGGAAACCTGGATGCACCCCTACACCAGCCTGAGGACTTGAAAAGCTGGAATGGAGGTCATCTTGAGACGCTCTATTAGCACAAAGGACATCATATAAAACACACCAATATTAAAAAACAGATGTGATGTTATTAGTAAAAATATTTCTACTCTTCTGAAAAGCAGAGCAAGGGGAGCAATAATAAGTTCCATCATGACTCTGATACTGGCATATAACATACCTTTAGGCTCATTACCCATTTCAGGATTTAGTGTAGTAACAAATGTCAAATATAGCTTTAGCATAACTGGGGTTCTTCTATGCTTGAAACCACCGTTGCTTTTCCCTATCCACAGTATCTTTTGCATGCCCACTGTGTGCCAGGCACTCAAGACATGGGACAGCAGGTACAAAAGGCAAAAATGCCTAACTTCATGGAACCAACATTCTGCACAGATAACTCACTGAGGAGCCTGCAAAGCGGAGCAGCCCCATGGCCAGAAGCTCGACTGTAAATCAGCCAATATGGAATGGCAGCTTGTGACATGCTTTAGGCTCATGTTCGAAAACACTGTTTTCTATTCATAGCATAGACATGTCTTTCATACATTTGCAATGATGCTACGTTAGGCCTCATGTTATTTCTGTTTTGGCTATTCTGATTCTCTCGTGCTTTGGACCGCCTCTCCCGCCACATCTATCAGTGTATATTCCTTTATTTTAAAGCAGATCACTCCAAATTACCTTTTCAATGTGACAATTACTCAGCCGTTCCCAGGAGATGTGGCATACCGGGAAACTGGAAACTTAAGTTTTTTTAGTGCACATTCTAGCCAGATCTATACAACAGTCCCTGTATTAATACAAAACCTATCAGTTTTAAGTCTGTAATTAAAACAATTTTTAATTCAATCATTTTTGCCCCCCCCCAAAAGATGCAAATGATTCAGAAGCCATTTTTACTCTATGGTTTTAAATATCACCTTCTTCATCTCATACACTCTCTACTTCTGAAGTTAAGATTATTTTCCTTTCCACAATTATTCTTTTAAAAAATTCTGTGTATACTACACAGAACACAGCTTTAGTCCTGGGCTGATACAATTTACTATGAACTGAAAATATTTATGTATCATTCTAGTCTGAATGGTTGGGTTTTCTTTTGCCCTTGAAAACCACCATAGTCACTATTTATTTAGCACATTTGGCAGATCGCAATGCATCAAGAACATGACACAGTTCAGCAATTCCTAATCTAAGGTTTTTATAAAGTTTTATGAAGATAGTAATGGAGGTCTCTAAGCTAATTTCAATATTCAAAGCCCAATATTTTCCCCCTCAAACAATATCAGCCACATCTACATGAGGAGACTTAAAATCAATGAAGCATTATTCACCACATATTCGTTGATCAGAAGGTCTGATTGGTAGCTACAGACCTGATTTTTATTTAAAAAAAAAACAACACCACTAATGAATATATGTTAATAGACACAATCTTTCAAAACATGGCACCCAGGGAGCTATCAAATTATAATAAAAGGCGTTTGGGGTTGTGAAAGGATGGGGAACAGCTGGGACAGGGGAAAAGACTTGGTTTTGAATGTCAAAGACGGGTTCCTGTTCTGAACAACATAATTGTGGGCAAGACAATGCATTTTGCCTGGTCTCCATTTTTAAGCTATAAAATGAAAGTCTGATCAGATGATCTCTGAGATGTCTTGCAGCTTTCCAATGTTTCCTTATGGATCTTAATATTATATGTGCCCCAATACTCAGCCACCTCACTCTCTGCTGCAATACTCCATTCTCTTCTAGTGAGATGCAATAGCGACTGGACCCCTCCTCAACCTAGCTGTCACAGCCAAAACTGATAGTTTCCAGTTAGTGGCACTTCACACAGGACACCCCAAAGACAAGAAAACGCATGATGACAGAAGAAACAGAACCGGGAAAAGGAAACAAAGCAGGTCATTGCTATTCATAATATACAAACGATGTGACAGGTACTGACTTACCACTAATCTCACAACCACACTTCCACTAGGAATTACTACGTCTTACAAATAAGGTGACTGACTTGTGTAATGCACGGTGATCCACTTAGTTTACAAAAATGGAACTCATGACTTCAAATTATAAACTTTTAGAGGACAGAGACAAAGATCTGGAAGTGTCTCAAGAATGACTCTCTAGCCTATAATCCTAGACTTGCTAAAATTTGATTAAGAAATTTTCCCCCCACTGTTTAAGTACAGAAAACCATGTAAGATGCTATACTAAACTGCATTACCAGTATTACATTCTGGTAATCCTGTCACATTTGTGGCCCACCAGGCAGATGCTTATAATCAAAACCCAAAAGATATAATCCAAGCAGTTTAATGCGTAAATGTCTCATATCTCCTGTCTCTGGTATTCCAGAATTTCAATGCCATTTTCACCAAATGATAACGTTTTATTTACATTTTGTACTCAATCAGAAATAATCACAGGAATCTGAATCTTGTCTGATATGAATTTAACCTTGTATAATAACCATAAGCCACCACCCACCCACCAATCTGAAGAGTGTGTTAAATAATTTACATGATAATCAGTTTCTATGGCTTGGAGTAAGTTATTTAACTAAAACACTTTTAAACATGTATTATCAACACTATCAACAATCAAGAATTTTAAAAAAAATGTATCATAAACATTAATGTAAACATGTTTACTTTCATAAAATAAACGTGTGTTTCCGCTTCTCAAAAAGGTAGGAAGTACAAGCGAATCACGGGCCTGCCTTCGGATTTAAGTTACCAATCCGATCACCCAGATAAACAAACTATGGATGCATGTAGCAGGACTCTGCACGCACACACACGTTTTCATTAAAGAGGGTGTCTGTCTAGCTCAGCCGTGGAAAACACACTTCCTTAGACCCAAGAACGACGTGCAGTTAGCCAGCAGCACAGCGAGGCTCATTTTAAGCCGGACGCCGCTGGGAAAACACTTACGTTCCCGACGGCAAGAGGGTGGCTCCAGCGGGGGAACCTCTTCCTGCCGGGCCGCCCCGCCCGGAACTCGGCGGGCCTCTAGGGGCAGCGTCACTCCGGTCCCCACACGGGACCCCCGCCCCCGGCCCCGCACTAGGTGCCGAAGGTTCCGGGACGGGAGGTCCAGCCGGCGGACACTCCCATGAACTGCAGCTCTTTCCCGGGACACAGCCATGGTAAACCGAAGCCTGTTTCCCTAACCGAAAGCCCCGTCCCCCTCTCACCTGGGCCGGGCCGGGCAGGGATGGAGAACCCTCTCCAACCACAGGCTGGGGAAGGCGCTGCGACGCCCCTTCCGGCACTTCGGAGGCCAGGGCGGCCGACGCTCCCGCGGGCCAGGGCCGGGGCGGCCCGGGCGAAAGGCTGTGAGGCTCCTCCACTGGCCCCCTCACTCCCCGAACCGGGGGCTCCTCCACCCCTCACGCCGGAGCCCGAGCAGCCCGGGAGTCAGCCCCACAAGCAGCTCTACTCACGCGTCCGGAGCCAGCCACCCGGCAGCCATCTTAAGACCCCGTCAACATCGCGCCTTCTCATTGGCTCTGACCTCTCAGCCAATGGGCTGCGGCCGTTCTGGCCTGGCGGTCGCCGTGGCAACCGGCCGCTCTCAGCTCCACGGTGAAATCCACTGAATGGAGCGGTGGGTTTCTTTCCACTTTTCTCTCGCCGTTTTCCCTCTTGCTTCTGGTCGTTCTCCAGGCTTTGTCGGTTCGCCATCCCCTGCCGCACGCCGGTGCTGGCTTAGACTTTGACCTGAGTCCATTCCCAAGGGGAGAGAATCGCTGCAGGCGCTCTCTAGGCCCTTCTGGGAACGTTGCTATTAGTTCTCCGTTTTCCTCCCTCTCTTCCTTTTTCCTTCTCTGCACGAACTTGTTGAGCAGCCTTCCTTCCAGTCTCTGTTTCGGAGAAAGCGGTCCGCCTCCTGCTCTCGTGGAGCTTACCATCTGGTTATCGCCCAGGCTGCTCCCCCAGCAGACTCCGTGGTCTTGGCCCAAAGCTCAGGGGACTTTTCCGTGGCAGCCACTGTTGTAGGCCCCGAGGAGGGGCGTGGGGAGCGTAGGAAATAAGCAAGGAAAACCACCAAGAAAAAGGCGCCACGAAGAAAACAGTAATGTGGTCGTGATGGGAGTGGGGCTATTTTAGAAGGGCTGCCGTTTTCTGAAACTGTTGGGTAATAGTGATTAAGAAGATGAAGAATATTCCCTATTTTCTAGTGTTGTAACATTCATGTAAGAAAATACACATAAAGACCTTAACCTAGTACCTGGCCCACAGTAATTCTGTCTTAGCTATTTGTTACCAATAATGCCCTTCTTTGAAACATTGTAAAAATGTATAAAAATGTTGCCTGACACTCAATAATATATCACGACTTAGTATAAACAGATCTTTGAAGTTATTACCTAACTATTCAGTGCCTCACCCCCAGTGTCTCCCAGAAGACGTGCCAGGTTTGTGGAGTCACTTTCTATAAGCCCAGAATCAGTGAACCCTGGATTGACAAGCTTGGGCGGCTCAGGTCCGTTTAACGTGCTCACAGCCTCTGATTCTAGAATAGAAGCAGAGCTGAGCCATTGGCAGATCTGTATGAAGCTATCCTGGCTAATGGTGTCCGGCTTCTCAATGGGGTTTTCCCGGAATCTAAAACCTTCAAGAGTGAAGCAGCTAAAGAGAGGACGTGTGTCAAAGCTCTGATGTAACTCTGGTCTCGGGCCTCTCGATTGCTGAAATAAAGGGCGACTTTATTTCTCACAGTTCTGACGGTTGGGAAGTCCAAGATCAAGATGCCTGCAAAGTGGGTTCCCTTGTGAGTCCTGTCTCCTGGCTTGTGGGGCAGCAGACATCTTGCTGTGTGCTCACATGATCTATTCTTTATACATGTTTGGAAAGAGAGAGGAAAAGGGGGGAGGTCGGAAGAGAGGGAGAGACAAGGGAAGGGAAGGAGAGAGAGGAGAGGGAGAGGAGAGAGAGAAGAGAGGGAGAGGAGAGAGAGAAGTGAGGGAGAGGAGGAAAGATAGGAGAGGGAGAGGAGTGGAGCTCCAGGGCTATCTCCTGTCTCCTGTCTCTTCTGATGAGGAGACTAATCCTATCAGGGCCCCACTCTCATGGCCTTACATAACCTTAATTCCTTAGAGTCCCCAACCCCAAATACAGCCACACTGGGGGGTTAGGGTTTCAACATATGAATTATATTCTTACACAAACATTCAGTCCATAAAATTGCCAATGGTGGAAGAGTGGCCAGAATGGGGAAAGAGCACAGAGGGGAGAAGACATGGATAGGAAAAAAGTGATGTTGGCCTGTTTAAGAACCTTCTAGAATGTTTCCACATAAATTCCATTAAAGTATAATAGTTTTTTTAGTACATAGAAATGTGCAAAATAGAGGGGGAATAGAAGCACTCCAAAACCCCACAAACACCGGATTTCACACCAAAGTCCAGTGCTACTCCAAAATAGGTGTTTTAAATTTTTCTCTATTAATTTGAGAATTCTCAAATATCTGATTGTTTACCTGTGACATTATTGGATTCCTGTAATAAATGTAAATAGCTCAGACTTTTCTTCTGGCTCAGAACAGTATTGCTTTGCCAGTTTTCTGGGGGAACTGTCAGTCATTTGATTTATTTTAATCAATAAATTTACCTTCCCTCCAGCAAATTCCTGCCCTGGAAATCTGCCAAGCCATGCATTTTGTGAATGAAATACTTGTATTTGGTGAGATTTCCATGAAACATAGAATTATTGAATACCTTTTACTAAATCATACTGAATGCGACGCGGCTAGTGAATTTGAACTTGAATTGTGTTGCATCTGGCACTGATTTCAAACATGTAAGTTTCACCTAAATTATCAAACGTATCTTAAAAATCATAAAGCAGTTTTTCTTTGCCAAGAAATATTACAGTTTCTGAATAGTTTGTCCTTATATTTCGTCATTTTTTTCTTAGTGTAGAGATTACAAGTCACACTCATGTTATAAAAGATTAATTGTGGAGGTCTTTTCTGGTGGCTGCTAAATCTCTGATTGATGAAAATTTTCCCAAATATAATGAAATCCCTTAACTATTCCTCAGTTGGAAAAAGTGAATACGACCTTGTTGAATATATAATAAATGTGTTTCTTGCTGGAACTGAGAACGAGAATAAATGAATTTCCGTCTGTACAAAATGCCTTATTTTCTGCATTGAAGAAAATGTGGTGTAGTGACTTACACAAAAGAACAGAAACAAGGGAGTTCGGAATTTTAGGAATGGTGTGACAATGTCTCTTCTGGATCTGTTTTTTAAATTTGCAAACCGTCGCTTCTATAAACAATGTTAGCCTTAGAGGAATATGTTAAACAACTAGCACTGACATCAAAAAGAGTTCACATTTGAGGAAACGACATTCCTATAATATAGGATGTTGCCCCCCAAAAAAAGCATTTTTTTAAATTGGTCATGTCCAGTACTAATATCATAAAATCTTATGAAGTAAATACTACTGTATCCATTTTACATATAAGGAAATTAAGGCTTCTAGAGTTCAAGGGGGAAACTTGCCTAAGGTCACATAACTAAGTCACAAGCAGAATCGGACTCTCAACCTCATGCTCTTTCCTCTGTCACCCACTGCCCTGCTTTTAAGATAAAGTTCCCAGCACAGTACAGTCAATAATGTATGGACATCAAGCTTACCCTGTGGGATGTATACCCAGTGGGAGCTCAGGAAAAGAGCGGCCTTGGGAGCAAAATGCGCCTTCACTCTCCAACCCCTCAGTACCTGGCGAATGAGCAAATCCTATCAGAGGAACCTCTTCAGTCCCTCCTGCTCTGATACATTGAAAGCTATGTTGGTCTCCCTTTTCCTGGTCTTCCACAGCAGCCCAGGGCCCGATTCATTTCTCTAAAGGAAGACAGGTAAAGCTTTTAACATAGAGCCTGGCACTTACTGACTAATGGTCAATAAATATTAGTTTCCTTCCTTATGCATAAAAACTAAGGAGTGTGTGTGTGTGTGTGTGTGTGTGTGTGTGTGTGTGTTGGGGAAAAGAAATTGAACACGCAGAGCACAGAGGATTTTTTGGGCAGGGAAAATACTCTGCCTAGTAACCGTAATGATAGATTCACATCAACATATGTTTTTTCCAAGCTCAAAGAGTATACAACACCAAGAGTGAACCCTAAGGTAAACAATGGACTTCGGGTGATTATGATTGTCAATGTGAGTTTATAAATTATAACAAATGTACCACTCTGATGAGAGAGAGCCATAATATGTGGAGATAGTAAATGTATGGAAAATCTCTACCATCTCAATTTTGCTGTGAACCTAAAACTGCTCTAAAAATAAAGGCTCTTTAAAAATCATAAAAACAATAATTCATTACATGTGAAAATTATGTGAAACCCAAAATGTAGTATCCATAAATAAAGTTCTATTGGAGCTTACAGAAAAAAACAACTGAGGAGTACATAAATGTTGATAGGTTATCAGATTAATATGTCAATAACTTTGTGGTCCTTACCATGTGCCCAGGGCTCAGCACTTGGCTAAGCTTGCAAGAGAATACACATGAAGTTTATGAACTGGCCTACCAAGGAGTTTGTAGTCTGAGATATGTAATGTGGTTATAGATGGTACATCTTACTCCGTAAGTACTAAAATTGTGAGGACCATGATGTAAATAGAACTATAGATCCTAAGAATGGAAAAGGAAGCTAGATGGAATTTAGCACAAGCTATTTCCTTTGCCTGGAATACCTTTCTCTTTTATACCTTTGAACTCCATTTCATCCTTCAAAACCTAGATCAAATCTTACCTCCTGAGTTAAACCTTTTCTGATTCATGAAATTCTTCTCTATGCCTTCATGACAGTTGATACAGGACCATGGGGCTCTGGTCATTGATTACAAGTTTCTTTCTCTGTTCTTCAGATGATGTCATCTTCAAGTTCTCTGACTCTCTTTTTGGCCATATCCACGCTATTGTTGAGGCATGCAGTAAATTTTTTATTTTATGCCATTTTGTTTTCAGTTCTATAATTTCTATTGAGTTCTATTTTATAGTTTATGTCTCTTGCCTGAAGTTTCCTGTTTTCATTATATTTTCCTTTTAATCCTTAAGCATAACTATTTTTAAATTCTTATATTTGATTCCAACATTGGGGTAATCTCTGGTTTAGTGTCCATTGATTTTTTTTTGCTCTTGAAAAGATTCATGTTTTCCTGTTTCTTTATATGACAAGAAATTTTGGGTTTCATCCTGGAAATTGTGAATAATATGTTATAGAAATTCAAGATTCTATTATATTTCTCCAAAGAACACTCACTCCATTTTACAGCAGGCAGTTCATTGGCTGAGCCCAAAGTCTCAGCTCTGTCTCCCTGTGGGAGGGAGCAGCTCAAATCTTAAAGTTTAGTTATTTTAGCATTAGCTGGGCCGCTTGGCGTCCGTTCTTCACTGTTCACGGGTCATCCAGACATTAGGGCATAGTTTATATGTAGAAGTTTTTAATCCTCATTTTGTAT